CACAACCCCAATCAAAAGCCTGAATACCGAACTGCTGCAACTCTTGGAACCATTGAATTTGGTGTCCAGTATGAGAAATTGCTACAGCAGACTGTCGAACACATCAAAAACACATCAAGAAATCTCAGGAAGCTATGATTGCTTCTGAGAACAAATGTCGCCGACAATCCACATTTTAGGTAGGGGAACGTGTCTGGGTCAAGGCTAGTGAGTTGGGACAGGAGTTTGACATCTTTAGGAAACTAATGCCTCGGTATTTCGGTCCCTGGGAAGTCTTCGACATTGTGGGGAATGATTTGGATTGTCCCTCGTACTTCATTCGTATCCCTGGTCACATACGCAAATACCCTGTTTTTCACGCCTCTAAGCTTGCACCTTTCGTTGAGACATCACAGTTCCCATCACGAAGATCTATGCTGCCCCCAACCATGGATGGCCACGTGGACGTCGACGACATCCTGGATCACAGAGACACGCCTGTTCCCAAGCCACCTGGCAAGGGAAGACCACCTAAACCTGCAAAGGAATACAAAGTACATTGCACGCATCATACGGATCCTAAGGATGATCGATGGATTTCAAGGGAGAAACTTGTCAAGACAACTCCTTAGATTGTGGCAGATTATGAGAAGAAACTGAAGGGGAAGGCACACACATGAAACATCTCAACGAACTTTCGAAGCTAAGGGGGATGGAATGTGAGGAACGAGTCCTCAAAGGGCCCTATCAGACATTATATGTTATGGGCTAAGGCCCCAGCAAGCAGAGTGCCCGCCCTAAGTGAAGGCAGGCCTGAATATTCGTCAAAGGTCAAAATTCGACATTTCCATATGTGGGTATTCAGACTCTCGCAGCACGCCAGTTGGTTGGGTAGACGTGTGAGCCTCACTAAGCTGCGTCATACAGTTGGCCCAGACCTTGACAGTTGCGCCTGGGCACATACACACAAAGCAGGGCCAATACATTAGGAAGCAGACCATTTGCCTTTGGAAAAGCAGTATTGTTGATGCACCTACCTGGGAGCCCTACATGGATGCAGCAAACAGCCAAGTCCAGAGACTCAGGCCGTGCCCATCTGGAAAGGGCCCAGGCGCTCAACTGTAGTCTCGCGCCTGGGCGCAGGGTCTAAGGCCAAACCGGAAGCTACTGGAAGCTTCCAGCCAGGCCACACGTAGCATCCAGGAGGCTGCCACTTCGATAAAAAAAGTGACGCAGCCCAGGCCAGGCATTCTGGCCAATGCAGGCAATGCGAAAGTGCTGCTGCACTATTGCTTGATGCTGCGCTGTGGCCAAGGGCGCTGACGGGGCGCATAGTGGTGAAGTGGGGCGCTGCAGGGCAGCGGGGTGCAGGCAGCCATAGCCGGGCTGCTGGGCGCCAGGGGGTAATGCAGGCGATCGGGTGGTCTTCAGGGAGGGAGGCGAGTGTGGGGTAATCAAGGTCCGACTGAGGGTGACGAGATACGTAACTGGTGCATGAAGAGAGGTCGACTATGGTGTTGACAGTCATGTGCATTGGTCTTTGAGAGTCGAAGTGAGCCTGTTGTGTGAACCAGCTGTAGGTAGGATGGGCGCTGGGCGCTAGACAGAGAGGAGCGACTTTGGATACTGTGTTGGTGTGGCCTACGGGCTTGAACATTGGCTCGTTACGTCATTGTATTGCTCTATATGGATGGTTTCTTGGTGCATTTTGTACTCTCTGCTTGGACACGACTACCTGGACGTCTGTGTGATTTCGCAACTTGGTTTTCTGTATATCGCTGGTACGTATGGAGGTCCCCGGGCCGACCTCCGTACGTACGGGTGTTCGGGGTCCCATACGGGGTCCGAACCCGACGACGTTCGGCTTGAATTTTTTTTTTGTGAGTTCTCTATGACCATAGGTACATGCCTATTAATTTTGACATCAATTGACTCAGCCAAATAAGAATTAAAAATCGCCAAAGATGGTGGTGTCAAAACGTGCTCGCCCACGTTTTTTTTTTTCACTTTTTACTTTTTGTTTTCACTTTAGTTTGGGGTCTAAACAATTTTATTATTTTTTGAAACTTTTTTAGTGGGTTTTGTATTATGTGAAGGACACATCTGTAGCTATGCCAAAAAAAAAAAAAAAAAATCGCCAAAGATGGCGGTGTCGAAAACGTGCTTGCTCACTCACTAAATTTAATTCTCTTTTTATTTTTTGTTATTTTTATTATTAGTATTTGTTCTCCGTATTTTATTTTTATTTCAAATTTGGTAGGGAATTTGGATGTAATGCTCAGGAAAATCTTGTTCTTCATAACATACCTTTTTCTCAGTTTTATTTTTTTTTGGGTCCGTGTTCGGCCCGAACGGCCGAACGCATCCCCAAGGGGTCCCATACGTTCGGGTGTTCGGCCCATCCTGAACGCCGGTTACCCTGTATATATATATATATTGACGATATATATATATGTATGTATATTCCTTTTTTCCCCTTTCCCGCCAAGCCTTTCGTAGGCCTCCAGAAAATGAAATTCCCACGTGGGACTACAGCTGTGAAAGGTAGTGGTGGTTTAATCAAAATAAAACGAAAAGTTTTGGGACCTAAGGGCAGTCCTAGAGCAGCTCAGGGCTGTCACTCCATGCAAGAGTGAGGTCAACACCTTCACTTCTAAACCTGTACCAAGTTGTCCCGCCACCGTGGGACCAACAGAATTTGGGTCATCGCATCCAGGCATATGACCCCTTTTCATGTTTTCCCCCTTAACCTGCCCCCTTTTTTTTTGGCATTCACCCAATCAAACTCAACCAAACTGAGAGTGGCTGTACAAGTCAAACCTCAATTCGCATCCCCATGAAGGGTCAAGCCTGGTGGCCCTCCGGCATCAAGACCCAACTATCTGGCTGGCTTTTCAATATATAGGCCCAGCCAGTCCAGTCAAAGGACACATGGGTGGAACGAGGCTAGGCTGCCTGAACGTTTACTGAAGGACGTCGTACTCTGACTGCCTTGACTGCCAGGCATAAGGGACTCCGACGCTGGGAGGTTACTGATCAGAACTGGAAGGTAGCATGGACAAAGAGAGGGAAAACATGCCCTGATGGACACAGAGAGGGGAAACATGCCCTGAAAATGTTTCTTTGATCATAGTTGTTAGGGCTTGGCATACAAAAAGGGGAAGTCCATGTAGCGGCTCGACTATGACAATAGTTGTGTGGGAGGCATACACAAGGGGGAAGAAGGGGAGGTCTTCACGATACTCGTGTTTCAGTTCTCCTTGGGGTGTGTGAGTTGATTGGCTGCTGTGAGCGCTTTGATCCTGGACAACGACAACTTCAGTGGATCCAAGGTATGGGTATTCTCCTGGAGTAGCGATGAGGAAATACACTATGTGAAGCAGGGCTCTGAAGACGATATGATCCAAGGTATTATGCAACTGGGAACTGTCCTGCAGACTGCGTATGGCCCGGTATGGGTATTCGCCTGGAGTAGCGGTGATATGGAGCCTGTTGTATGTACTGAAGATGTATTGTATGTTTACGCCTATACAGACAAAGATCACACATTGACACACAAACCGCTTATTATTATTTTTTTGCTGTAAACGATTCCTTGAAAAGTAGTGTGCTCCCTACAATGGACCCTTCACCATACGGTCACATTTTATTGGGTTGGGGGGGGAAGCGCAGTTAATAAAACTCTCCAATTTTAGGATTCGATGAGATGGCACAAAACCCCCCTCTCGATCTTTAGATGGGCATCAACTACAAGATCATCTTATGACAGACTTGCGTGAACCAAGCCCATGTTAGCTATACACGCTAGCTCCGTAGTGGCCCATGCATAAACTCAAACCACCTCCCATAGAAAACACAACAACTCACACCACCTCAATCCAGTCTAATTGCTAGTTGAGCAGATCTCCCTGTGATATGAAATGACACACACAGCAAGATCCTATTACATATCCTCCATATTACGGTCAGAATCGAGTCATGCTGAAGCCACACAGCCCTGTTGATGCTTAGTATGCTTACCCTCCAATTCCCAATTAAACCACCAGTACCTTTGGCCAACATTTTCCGGACCCTGGCAATGCCCTGCACCCCCCCCCCAAAAAACCGGCGCAGGCCGCCTTTTGGCTGGCGCCGCCGGTCGTTTTGCCCCGGTAGCCCAACCCCCCGAAAAAATTGCTCCAATTCCCAATTAAACCACCAGTACCTTTGGCCAACATTTTCCGGACCCTGGAAATGCCCTGCACGCCTCCCCAAAAAAACGGGTGCAGGCCGCCTTTTGGCTGGCGCTGCCGGTCATTTTGCTCCGGTAGCCCAACCCCCGAAAAACTTTGCGGCGCTTTAACGGCCGCATCGGAGAAAGATGGCTGGGCAAGGTACTAGTGGTTTAACATGACATAAAAAAACTAGGATCCAACAAATAAGGTTGACTCCAGTGTCCCATTCACCGTATAAGATGTGCAGGAATGATTTCCTGTACAGCTTTCAAGGCAGGCAAGTGTAGCGATACTCGAAGTGGAGTGGCAGTGCATTTGAAATTGGAGCAATGGCTAAGGTACGAGAAAAAAAGCTGGTCGCAAATACGCAACATAGACGGAATGAGATCGTGGGCGGTTGAAGTAAAGCATATGGCCAGAGACGCTTGCTCACAGTGTGAACAATACACATTGACTTCAGAGTATTAACCACCGAAGCCTCCAAGGCGAGATGACAACGCACCCGGTCCCCATTGCAGGCATTGTTCCTGTGTTTTCATCGGCATGGACTCAGATCGACCAAGAGATCCGGAGAATCTGCTGAGAACACTACCGAAGGGTGCACAGGGACGATAAAGTTTTGCCCTGACAACCTCGCTGGACAATGCTGAACACCAACCGCTGGCAAATGCTATTATTAGCACGCGCCACGCGGGACCATCATCATGCATCAATTGTATCCGCGCTGGATCACTGCTTTTTACAACGCAAGTGAATGAAGTTGAAATAAATCAAATGGCACGCTCAAAAGATGCACAGAAGGAAAAATCTACAAGGCCTTAACAGTGAGGACAACAACAATGAACAGAAATCCAATGAAGGGAGCTTCGGAATCACTGACTCGGTCTCGGCCTCATTACTGAATGCAATTGGCTTGAGCTGCGCCGCCTTGGTGCGCCTCCAGAATGGGAACTAACTGATGACGAAGGATCACTGTCGCTCCTGCTTTCAGACGACCGACCTGTATTAGACCTCAAATCCGATGAAACAGCGACGGGTTCACGGACAGTGTTTGCGGGCAAAACTAGACTGGCCCGGGGCGCAAGGACAGCAACCGATGAATTGGCCGGCCGATCCCGATCCAAGCAGCCTGCTGCTGCACCACTAGCAGGTGGATGACGACTATCGTGCGATTGCGAAATGATGCTCATGGGTGGACGCATTCTGTGGCGCCTTCTCGGGAACTCGGATAGACTGGAGTTCTCCATCTGTAAGGAGCTCTGTCCGCTGTGTGGCTCCCTCTGCGCACTCAGTCCAGAGCTCGTCCCCGACCGCGGCACTGATCCATCCCCATCACTGGCAAGAAGCTGTTTCTGGCTGCTGGACACGACTTGTGGCACTTGCACACATGCACCACCCTCTGCGTATGCGGCCGTCCTCCTTGGAACGGGGCCTTTTGAAAGGCCATCTGTGCTTGGCCCACATTTGGGTGCTCGACAAATCTTGATTTCATCCCCCTCTTGGCTGTACTCCCTTGCTTGCAAAGGAGGTGCTTGCTGAACAGCAATGGCCAGACGACGACTGTCCTTTGAGTCCCCTCTTGGTTCCTGCATTATGCCGATGGGTTTGCTGGCGTTTGGAGATGGCACATGAACCAAGCTACGCTGCCATGGGACCGAAGACTGGACCGTTGGAGCTGCAGGGCTCTGCTGATAATCTATGGCAACAGGAAGACCTTCCTGAGGGGGAAACAGCCTTTCCTCACAGCTGCGCTCCTTGGACGGGAAAGGTGTCATGGTGCGTCGTTGATCAGATGCATTATCCCTATCCTTCATCTGGCCCGGTTGATCCCGCACACCGACTGTATTGCCGAGGGCAGGAAATTGCATTGAAACAGAGTCACCCGAATCCAAGACTGGACGTTGCCTTTGAGCCACAGTTTCATGCCTCTCCTGACTTCCTTGACGAGGCTGCGACTGTTGCTGAACGGTAATAGCCCTTAGATTGTTTACAGGTGTACCGCCTGCATTACAGGGGGTCGAAATTCGGTTGGATGCTGAGATTCCTGCCGGCAAGCCTGGAGATTGCATGGGCGTTGCGCTGAGGTGCGGAGGAGTGAGAGCGCTTTCTCTGCGAGCAGGTGCATTGCCTCCTTTGCTAGATGCCAGAAAACACTCAGGCACAGCGCTAGAAGTGGCAGGAGCAAGAAATTGTGCTGGTGTCGGACTGGCACGCTTCTCATAGACAGCTTGGCCAATATGTGGCTGCTGCTGAGGTGTGACAGCTCTTCGTCTCTCCGCAGAGGATGGCTGGCAGACAGAGTGGACTCTGATTCCAGATTTCTGTGCCGGTGAAACGAAAGGTGCCTTGCACTTCTGCTGGCCTGGACCAGGCTGGGGTGCCCACACTGGGGGTAGAGTGGGCAGTGCCGTGGAAGCCTGGTAACCTTCTGCACCAAAACTCCCCCTCCTCATACTCTTCTCAATAATGTACTGCACCCTCCTCTGGAGCATTTGCAGCATCTGCGGGAGACGAGGGTCAACAGAGTCAGACACCTTTTAAGCCGTACAATGCGTACATGCTATTGCACACATGGATACATTGGGTTGATAGAACAAAGTCTCAAAGGGCAGAGGCAACAAGATCACCAGAGAGCAGTTCCATCATCCATCCTTACCGATTCCTGCCACCAAGTCAATAACGAACGCATGTTCCTACAACTTTCACAGCAGGTTGAGCAATCTTACCCACCACTGTGAACATGGTCCAACCTTCGGACCAAGTCATGCTATTGGAACAACCATTGCCATGTGGTCCAGTTCAAATCCAGCTTAAATGTGTGGACAGACAATGAACATTTACTCCAACTTTCCATTATGTTTACGTGTTCGAAATGAGAGTGTCCTTCGTTCTATGACTTGTAATAAAGGTCATGTGCCCGGATCAACCTCCGTTTCCAGGTACATCGTCAGGGTCTGAAGTTTAAACCAAAGATTAGCTTCTTTTTCTTTTTTTTTCTTAAAAAAAAAAAGGGTGACGGCCTTGAGATATCATCATTGAACCGACTGGCCCCAGATAATTCAGAATGATATTTTTGAATATTTTTTCTCTTCAACTGCTTGCATCTGGATTCGAACTTGGGTCCGCATTTCAACAGTTCATGGGTGTTACTGGGCTAGGCCAGTTGGTAATTGATTAGCTTTCGATGGTAATTCGAGTTCACGGTTACCCGTCCTTCCCCTGTTTTGCATGATTGAGTCTGTTTAGTTTGAAATCAAGCTCACTTCAATCGAGTAGCAAAGAAAAAAAGAGTGGCAAAGTTGCGAGCATGAAGTGATCCGTTCCACCGTGAGTCCGTAAGTCGACTTAAGTTGGAGAGTCGAGTGACGGGCGACCATCTGGCACGGTTCGGCGACCACTTTGTTACGACCGTCTACCCGTCTTCCCCCGAACATAACGGCACATGTGCTGTATTCGATTTTACGAAAAACTCTGAACAAATAAAAAAATTGGAATAGAATGCATATGCGCTGTATCATTTATGAAAAACTCTGAAAAAATAAAAAATTGGAATAGAATGCATATGCGCTGTATCAAAAAATTATGGCTCTTCGAATAGAACGCATATGCTTTGCATTCAAATTTCAAATGTAAAGCAACCTATGCATTCTACTCATGTACAACACATATGCGTTATGTTCGGGGGAAGACGGTAGTGGGGGAACTCTCGACTCCATTCGCGTTCCCGATCTCGAGTTCGAACCAGAGATTACTATCTCTTTGGAGTCTTTGCAATCTCTGTTCCAGGTACATGAGCGAACTCTCGCATTGGGACAGCATTTAAATTTTAAATTCAACTGCTGCACTACGGCACCATAACCTCAAAATGAACAGAAAGGCACCAGCTTCTTTTTTTTTTTTTTTTTTTTTTTTTTAATTTTAACAAGGAAACTCAGCTCATTCTATTACCACACCAACAAAGGGCAGGCTGGAAATTCCTTCACAAAAAACCCGGTAAACAAACAAACTACTGGGACCATTACCCAGCTTAGGTGCAGGCGCTGGGAGAGCAGAGGTCCAGTATCAGAATGGCCAAATGCAGCCCGGTGCCCTGACACTTCCCTAACCTGGGAAAAAAGGGAAAGCCGCAGGCCGCAAATCCGATGAAACCAAAAAGGCACTAGTTCTTCTCTAGCCTGTTTATTTTCATATCACCATAATCACCGGTATCTCCAAAAAAATCAGGCCAATAGAGAGAAGTCTTCCTTTGGTGTTCCCCTTCGCTTCCTCACTGCCTCCTCCTGCCTTCATGTTCTCTCCTTTTGCATGGGTATTGGACAGGGTGATTGTCTCAGTGCGGTCAAACAGGGTTTGCAAAATGAGACAGTGCGCAAACAATAACTCTACAACAAGTTAACCGAATACATAAAAAAGTCTCTACCTGTAAATCTCTTGGTTCGTCTGTCTGCCTGTCCATGGCTATGTCCGTCTGTGCCCCGGTTCTCTCTGCCCCAATAATGTTGATGTCCTCCATCTATTCATCTGCACCCTCACTCCCTCCCTGCCCCCCCTCCCCTCCCCCCC